CTGACTAGTTGATCTTGAAGTACGGGACCTGACAGTGATCTTGGAAGTACCGAGACCTGACAGTGATCTTGGAAGGACCGAGACCTGACAGTGATCTTGGAAGTACCGAGACCTGACAGTGATCTTGGAAGGACCGAGACCTGGCAGTGATCTTGGAAGTACCGAGACCTGACAGTGATCTGGAAGGACCGGGGAGGGACTGACAGTGATCTTGGAAGTACCGAGACCTGACAGTGATCTTGGAAGGATCGAGACCTGACAGTGATCTTGGAAGTACCGAGACCTGACAATGATCTTGGAAGGACCGAGACCTGACAATGATCTTGGAAGTACCGAGACCTGACAGTGATCTTGAAGTACGAGCCTGACAGAAGATCTTGGAAGGCGAAGGACCGAGACTGACAGTGGATTTGGAAAGTTACCGAGACCTGACAGTGATCTTGGAAGTACGAGCACGGACAGATGACCTTTGGAAAGTACCGAGACCTGGGACAGTGATCTTCGAAGTACGAGACCGGCAGTGATTTGGGAAGGATCGAGACCTGACAGTGATCTTGGAAGTACCGAGACCTGACCAATGATTTGGAAGGACCGTGACCTTGACCATGATCTTGAAGTACCGAGGGACTGACAGTGATCTTTGAAGGTACCGAGACCTGACAGAGATCTTGGATGGACGAAGGACGAGACCTGACAGTGATTCTTGAAGTAACGAGACCGGACAGTGATTTGGAAGTTACGAGCCGGACAGTGACCTTTGAAGTAACCGAGACTGACAGTGATCTTCGAAGTACCGAGACCGGACAGTGATTTTGGAAGTACCGAGACCTGACAGTGATCTTGGAAGTACCGAGACCTGACAGTGATCTTGGAAGTATCGAACTGGCAGTGATCTTAGAAGTCGAGCCCTGACAGTGGCTAGGACGACCGAGACCTGATGTCTTGGAAGTTACCGAGGGACCTGACAGTGATCTTGGACGTACGAGACCTGACAGGGATCTTGAAGTACCGGATACCTGACAGTGATCTTATAAGTTCCGAGACCTGACTGATCTTGGAAGTACCGAGACCTGACAGTGATCTTGGAAGTACCGAGACCTGACAGTGATCTTGGAAGTACCGAGACCTGACAGTGATCTTGGACGTACCGAGACCTGACAGTGATCTTGGAAGTACCGAGACCTGACAGTGATCTTATAAGTTCCGAGACCTGACTGATCTTGGAAGTACCGAGACCTGACAGTGATCTTGGAAGTACCGAGACCTGACAGTGATCTTGGAAGTACCGAGACCTGACAGTGATCTTGGAAGTACCGAGACCTGACAGTGATCTTGGAAGTACCGAGACCTGACAGTGATTTTGGAAGTACCGAGACCTGACAGTGATCTTGGAAGATAGTACCGAGACTGACAGTGTTCTTGGAAGTACCGAGACCTGACAGTGATCTGGAGAGAACCGAGGATGACAGTGTTCTTGGAAGTACCGAGACCTGACAGTGATCTTGGAAGTACCGATACCTGACAGTGATCTAGGAAGTACCGAGCCCGGACAGTGGCCTTTGAAGTACCGAGACTGACAGTGATCTTCGAAGTACCGAGACCGGACAGTGATTTTGGAAGTACCGAGACCTGACAGTGATCTTGGAAGTACCGAGACCTGACAGTGATCTTGGAAGTACCGATACCTGGCAGTGATCTTAGAAGTACCGAGACCTCACAGTGATCTTGGAAGTACCGAGACTGACCAGTGTTCTTGGAAGTAACCGAGACCTGGATGATCTTGGAAGTACCGAGACCTGACAGTGAGCTGGACGTACGAGGCCAGACAGTGAGCTTGGAAGTACCGAGTCCTGACAGTGAGTCTTATTTAGTTCCGAGACTGGATGATCTTGGGAAGTAACGAGACCTGACGTGATCTTTACGGAAGTACGAGACCTGACAGTGATTCTTGGAAGTAACGAGACCTGACAGTGCTCTGGACGTACCGAGCTGACAAGTGATGTTGAAGTCCCGAGACTGACAGTGACTTTATTAAGGACCGATAACTGACAGTGATCTTTGGAAAGTACCCAAGACTGACAGTGATTTGGGAAGTATCGGAGACCTGACAGTGATTTTGAATGTACCGAGACCTGACCAGTGACCTTGAAGGACGAGACCTGACAGTGATCTTGGAATTACCGAGACCTAGCCAGTGATCTTGGACGGATCGAGACCTGGAACAGGGATCTTGGAAGTAACCGAGACTGACAGTGGTTCCTTGGAAGGACCGAGACCTGACCGTGACCTTGGAAGTACGGAGACCTGACGGTGATCTTGGAAGGACCCGAGACTACAGTGATTTGGATGTAAGTACCGAGAACCTGACTGATCATGGAAGTACGAGACCTTGACAGTGATCTGGAAAGTACCGAGACTGACAGTTTGATCTTGGAAGTACGAGACCTGACAGTGATCATGGAGGTACGAGACCTGGCAGTGATCTGGAAGTACCGGGACCTGACAAGTTATCTTGGAGGTACCGAGACCCTGACAGTGATCTTGGAAGTACCGAGACCTGACAGTGATCTTGAAGGTACCGAGAACTGACAGTGATCTTGGAAGTACCGAGACCTGACAGTGATCTTGGAGGTACCGAGAGCTGACATTGATCAGGAATAGTAGTTACCGAGACCTGACAGTGATTCTTGGAGTACCGAGACCTTACAGTGATTTTGATAGTAAAGAGACCTGACAGTGATCGTGAAAGTACGGAGACTGACAGTGCATCTTGAAAGTACCGAGACCTGACAGTGATCTTGGAAGTACCAATACCTGACAGTGATCTTGGAAGTACCGAGACCTGACAATGATCTTGGAAGTACCGAGACCTGACAGTGTTCTTGGAAGTACCGAGACCTGACGTGATCTTGGAAAGTATCGAGACCTGAGAGTGATCTTGAAAGTACCGAGATCTGACAGTGATCTTGGAAGTACCGAGACCTGACAATGATCTTGGAAGTATCGAGACCTGACAGTGATCTTGGAGGTTACGAGACCTGACAGTGATCTTGGAAGTACCCAGACCTGACAGCGATCTTGGAGGTACCGAGACCTGACAGCGATCTTGGAAGTACCGAGACCTGACAGTGATCTTGGAATTACCGAGACCTGACAGTGATCTTGGAAGTACCTAGACCTGACAGTGATATTGGAAGTACCGAGATCTGACAGTGATCTTGGAAGTACCGAGACCTGACAATGATCTTGGAAGTATCGAGACCTGACAGTGATCTTGGAGGTACCGAGACCTGACAGTGATCTTGGAAGTACCGAGACCTGACAGTGATCTTGGAGGTTACGAGACCTGACAGTGATCTTGGAATTACGAGATCAGACAGAGCACTTGGAGGTACGAATGACAGTGGACCTTGGTTGTACATGACCTGACGTGTGATCTTGGAGGTACCGAGACCCTGACAGTAAATCTTGGAAAAAAGTACCGAGACCTGACATTGCTCTTGGAGGTAACGAGACCTGACATGATCTTGGAAGTACCGAGCAACCTGACCAGTGATTTTGGAGGTACCTAGACTGACAGGTGATCTTGGAAGTAAAGAGACCTGACTGAACTTGGAGGTACGGAGACCTGAACTGATCTTGGAAGGTTCCGTGATTCTGACAGTGATCTGGGAGGTACGAGACCTGACTGATTTGGAATAGTTACCGAGACCTGACATGATCTTGGAGGTACCGAGACCTGACAGTGATTTGGGAATACGAGTCCTGAAACAGTGAACTTGGAGGTTTGGAGGACCTGACAGTGAGCTTGGAAGTATCGAGGACCTGACAGGATCTGGAAGTACCGAGACTGGGCAGTGGATCTTGGAGGTACCGAGCTGGGACAGTGA